CCCCCCACTGGGCACCCCCAGGACGAACTGCTTGCAGCTCCATCCTGTGCCCCAGCCTCACTCCCAGTCCCTCCCCATCCCTGCTGCAACTGCCAGAAGCCCACAGCTGGGATGCTTTATGGCCCTACTGCTGCCCCGTGTTTGTGGGGGGCTAAGCCCCATTAGCCCCCCCTTCCACCGCCTATGCCCAGGGGGCACATGCCCCCTCCTGATCTGTGCATGGGGTGAGGTGGCTGCTACTACACACTAGGCTTTGTGCCCCGAGCGGCTGCAGCGGGGCTCAGGATGCAAAGCCCAGCATGCAGTGGCAGCTGCCTCACTCCGTGCACAGATCAGGGGGCACATACCCATGGGCTACTGCCAGCGTGCATGCAGCAGCGGGAGCCCCCCCGTGCACCTGGATGAGCTGCCCAGGCTCCGACTCTCCCCTGGCCCAGGCCCCACTCACCCTGTTTCAGGGGGTGTGGAGAAGGATTGTTCCACTCACCTGACCCAGCCCCAATGGCAGGAGGTGCAGCTCAACCCAGCCACGTGTGTCCCATGTCTCCTGGACTGTGACCCAGCTACTCCCCATGTAAGTCCCACCACTCCCGATCGCAGAGCCTCTGACAGTCAATCTGAGCCTGCAGAGCATCTGAAGGTCAATCTGAGACCCCACTCAGACTGAGATGGACTGTCAGAGGCTCCCAACTGACCAGTTGATCACAATGGACCAGTTGGTGACCACTGTGCTAGAGGATAGACTGGCGATTCAGGCCAACCTGGACAGGCTCATAAGGTGGGTGGATCAAAACCTGATGCCATTCAACACAGAGAAATGCAAGGTGCTCTACCTTGGGAGAAAAAATCAGATGAGTATGCAGTATATACTGATTTGGCAGGGTGCTGAATGCTCTTGACTTCCATTGACTTCAGTGTGACCTGAAGACCTCAGGGGAGAAACTCAGTATCTATAAGAATCAGGCACAAACCAGGACAGCAAGAGCCAGGACAACTCCTTGTGTTCAATAACAGACAATGAGGAGAATACAGATCACAAGCTGTGCTTAAGAACAAGACCAATTTTATTTAAACTGCCCTGAATTCACCAGTAAATTCAGTAAATTATTTCCCAGAGCCATTGCCATGGCAATGGAGAACCAGCAAAGTAATGAAAACAAAAGGGAAAATTGAGACTAAGCATGCTTTCATTTTTCAATGTGTCACATGCTCAGAAAGTTACAAGACAATTTGTCAGAAAGAGAGATTAAAGCCCCAACAGCCACAGGCTGGGGTGATCTGATGGCCACCGATAAGTTTATCAGGGGTGACCACCAGTATCTGGGGGAACGTTTGTTCACCAGAGCGCCCCAAGGGACGACGAGGTCGAATGGTAATAAACTACTGCGAGACCGTTTCAGGCGGTACACAAGGAAAAATTTCTTTACTGTCCGAGCCCGCAAGGGCTGGAACAGCCTGCCATCAGAGGTGGTTCAAGCACCTACATTGAACACCTTCAAGAGCAAACTGGATGCTTATCTTGCTGGGATCCTATGACCCCAGCTGACTTCCTGCCCCATGGGTGGGGCGCTGGACTCGATGATCTTCCCAGGTCCCTTCCAGCTCTAATGTCTATGAAATCTATGAGCACACCAGAACGGGATGGAGAAGTCCAGGCTGTTAAAGAGCAATACTTCTCTGCAGAAATGGCAGTGGGACATGGGCTTGATCTGTCTTGCTTAGTAATTTCCAGACTGAATGCTTTCCTGGCAAGGAGGAAAATGGGTCTTTTGGTTGCCAACCCTGAAAACCTCATCTAGGATTCACACTGGGATTAGTTCCTCTCCTGCAGCATCACTGAAGACAAAGGCCAAATTATATCCTCAGTGACCCTTGTGTTGTCTCACTGCATTTAAACCAAACCATGCTTTCAGTGCTACCTGTTCAGCTTCACTGATTTTAGTGGGGTTACATAAAAGTATATAAAGGAACAGACAGCCCAACCCTGAAGGGCCTCAAACCTGGAGGGCATGTAAGGAAAAGAGAGCCCAGCTTGCTTTCTCTTAGCCCTGTCAAGCCAGCAGAAACCTGTTCATATGCCTAAAGTCAGCAACTCTGATACTGAGCAAATTGCATTAGAAGTTTGCTCACTTTTTGCAGGCCCTTTGCAGAGCAGACCCACAGCTGAGTCATTTTTCTGTTGCTGGAGACTGAACAAGACCCCAGAAGAATCCCAGAGGTAATGATGGTATAACGTTAGGAGTGTCTGCTGTTTGGGCAAAAAGGGAGCTCACAGTAGAGCTAGAGAAGAAATGCAGTTATGTGTTTAGGTCTTTCAGAACCTGGTTTTTGAAGTCCAAGATCTTGCCCCCTTTACCTTGAATGAGGTAGGACAGAGCCTTCCATGGGCTGCACTGTCAGGAAGTTAATGTATCCCTCAGAATAGCGAGAGCTGTCTCTGAAAGCAAAGCTGAAGGTCATATTTTCATTGTTAATCAGTTGAATGGTCTTGTGGGCCTCATGTCCTTTGGGGAAAAACAGGAAGGAGGTGGCAAAACTTTAGTTCATCTGACAGGCTGGCATGGAATCAGCCCTCATGTGCAGAACCACATTAGACATTTTGCAGGTGGAAAAGGGGACCATAGACAGGTTCCCACAGTGAGAGAGCATTGCTAATGCACACAGCAGCACTTAGAATAAATGTTGCTTCTGTGGCCACCCTGCCTATAGACAGCCTCACAGTGTAGTGTTCAGTGTGAGAGGGAATGCAGAACTCCATCCCCCATTAATACTACTGGGATACCACCTACAGACCTGGCCAGGCACTGCACAAGCACATGGCCTAGAGCAGGGGCGGGCAAAATGCGGCCTGCCAAGCCATTCTATCTGGCCCGCAAGGCCCCTAAAAAATTTAGAAAATTAATATTTATCTGCCCCTGGCTGCCTGTCATGAGGCCCTCAATGGCTTTCCAAAACTCAGTAAGTGGCCCTCCGCCCAAAATAATTGTCTGCCCCTGGCCTAGAGGGTCTGACATCTGAGTCTGGCTACAAAGAGGAGAGATGCATAAATTCCCCTCTCCCAAAACTTCCAAAACTCAGAACATTTTTCTAACAGTTTTTCTCCAAAATGTGCTAAGTAGACTATAGTCATACATATGATCCAATACAGGTCTGGTTGGGGCTACCAGCATAAGTTACTCAATAATGCACCATTGACAAGAAATGGTACCAGCTGAACCAGTGTCAACAAAATGTTTACATGGTGGAACCTCTCAACATTCACTTTTGTAACAAACTCATAGGTGAATGAGTAGGCAGGAACTAAGCTGATAACAGAAACTCTATGGGACAAATCTGAATTCCTATTTTAACCCATTCCTTGCTCCACACTCCCTCTTGTCATTGTTTCTCACTCACCACTAATAAGCAACTTTGCTTTAGAAACTTGAAACCAGACACTTTTTTGCCCATAACCACAATAAAACCAACCCAACCCCTCCTCCCTCAGTAGAGTTTTGGCTCTAAAAAAGATGAAGTGCCAGACAATCCATGAACTCTACAAGGGATATAGTTACAGCTATTGCTCTGACAGCTCTGACATTGACAATGTCCAAAAGCAGTGATGAGTAGAAATATAAACTCTAAAAAGATAGATGGAAGGAAAGGGCTGTTCTTCTCAACTACAGAGCCCTCAGCTTCCATTTTCTTGTTATAATATCAGAATAACAGAATGAGGCTCAATAGTAACCATAGGCAAGTGGTAGGGAGGGCACAGGGGTGCCTGTGCCCTCCCTGACATTGGCTGCCACTGGCTTCTGCGGGTGGTCGCTGGTCACCACCCCACCTCGCTGCTGATGCTGCCACCAGCTTTTGCAGGTGGTCACCGCTCGTCATGCCGCCACCACCACCACTCGCCACCCCTCTCTCCCCCTGCCACCAGCTTCTGCGGGCAGTCACTGCTTGCCTCAATGCTGCTGATGCTGCCGCCCACAAACTGTGCCCCCCCAGTCTCAGGAGACACCAGTCACCCATGACAATAACCATGAGGCTCCACATCTCTGAATAAAGGAAGAAGCTCAGAGTAGCAAAAGGTACTAGGATGAAGTCTGACCTTACCTACTAAGAGAGATTGATAGTTCAGGTGGGATCTGTCCAGAGATACAGATGGGTCAGTGGTGTTGCCCACCAACAGGAATGGGACTGAAATGTTCTGTTCTGGGATTGTGAAGGTCCAAAATGATTCTGTGATACCCAGGTGCTGGGGGATGAATTCAAATGAGACCTGAGGAAGAAGCAGCAAAAAAACACTAGTTATTGGGCTTGAAGTGGTGACAGCGACTTGGATGGACTAAAAAGCAGGACAGATGTTACACTATAGCTAACTTATGCTTACAGATTGGCTTTCTATCCTCCACTGAGGAGCCAGCCACATACAGCAATTTATGGGCTTGTTCTGTAAGAACCATGGTTCTACAGCTCAAAGGCTTAGGCAGACTACAAGTAGATTTTTCACAATAGGTGAAAAACAGGTTACACACATTTACTGGCCTGGCAACCCTGTTTCCTTAGCTTGTAGGTACAGTACAGATGGTCTCTCATTTATTTAGGATCTTGAGAAATTCAATACCTCAGTAAAGAATATTGGCTTGCTCGCTTCCCATGACATGCCTGCATGCTCAGATAATGGCACCAAACTGTCACTCTTCAGTGACACACTTATCTCTAATAAGAAAATGGCACTTCAGAGAACTGGGGCATACAGTTTGCTTTTAACCTTCCTAAAATGTCCATGCACAAATGTACTAAAAGAAAAGCATGGTGCTATGACTCCAAGCAGAATCACTCTGATAGGGTAGTCTTTCATGCTGTAGCCAAGCCAATGCTTCCAATTCATGAACACATGCAGCAGAGCTTGCCCAGGTGGTGTGGTGCACATGTGGTCCACCCCCTTTACCCTCCAATCTGGCCAGCAGTTGCCCCTACGGTGCTATGCATGGGGCTGAGCCCCACCCACTCCTGCCGGAGGCAGCTTATCACACTGGGTGGGCAGAGTGTGTGGAAGGCAACTGGGAGCTGGAGCTGCAGCCCTGCAAGCTTAGGCAGAAGCCACTTGGATGTATCTTCCCCCACCCCAGGATGGCTTCCTTCTACCTAGTACATCCCCACAGCTTCCCTGCACTGCCTGCAGCCTGGTGTAGCACAACAGTGGCAGCAGTGTAGCATGAACTGAACTAATATAGCTGACGTTAACATAGAGTGTAATAATATTGAAATATAACCATGTTAGTCTTGTCCTGTAAGCAACTTGAAAACTCAATTTTGTATCCTTCTACTTGACATAAGTGAATGAACTCTGCTTAGCCTTTATGTATGAGTGTGTGTAAAAGGGTGAATGGTGAGAGAATGGTATAGAAGGAAAAGAAGATTTAACTGTTCATGTAAGCAACAAGGCGCCAGATGTGTAAATTCCCAGCCAGTAACTAACTAATAAATGGCTGAAGAATCCCTTTTAGGCCTGGGGCACAAAGAAGATAACGAGAAAAAGGGATGCATCCATTCTGCCAGATGGGCAGCAAAAACACTCCAAGGCTAAGGTAAGCTGAAGACAAAAGAACAACTGCAAAAACAGAAGCTGGGTATGGAAAAACCCCAAAGCACTAAAATAAAGGATGCCAATCCCTATAAAAGAACACTTTGAAAATGCCAAGTTGGGTGAGTCTCTTTCTCTACTGCTGTTTCATTGCAGCACAGATGCATCTGTTCACCCCGCGCCAGCTGTTATCTTCAAAACTGCTATCTTCAAACTATTGCTGGAAACTGTGTGTATGAAACGCTGGTGTATGTGTGGGTGAAATGGTTGTTTTGTGTATGTTTATGCCTGTATGTAATGATGTGTATGATGATTTGTGTGTGTTTGTATGAATGGTGTTCCTGAACATCTATGTCTAACTTATGTGATCAATAAACGCAGCACCTTGCCTTATCCCCCTTTATAAAGTCTTGCTCGTAATTAAGCAGTTGGCAATTTGTGTAACAGGAGGAGCTGCTGGAGGCAGGGGGAACCAAACAGTACCTAGGCAGCTGCAGCTGCACTGGGAGCAGACGCCAGGAAGCCGTGCACGCTGGATGGGGCCAAGGTGGTTGGCAGTGTGGCCCAGGCTGTCCTGGGTGGGAGTGGGCAGGGCTTGGCCCCATGCTGAATGTTGTGAGGGCAGTTGCAGGCTAGCTACAATCAACTAGTGGGTGCCTGCTTGTGGGATGTATCCAATCAGTTGGTGGGCCAGATCCAGCCTGCAGGCTGTATTTTGCCCACCCCTGTCATACACCATTAGTACAGATCCGTGCTTTGGTCTCCCACCCACCTCCACTTTCTTATCAGGCCGGATCTGGCCCTTTTCTGTCAGACAGTAGAAAACTGGTTTCTCTCGCAGGTCTCTTGTCTCTTCACAAGTCCACTGGAAGGAGTAGGTGAAACTGGTGGGGTTCGTGAGAGTGAAGGCCCTGGGCACAACAAGCAGAAATTGACATCAAAGTGGGAACAGGTAGGTTGTTCTGGAAATTATGACCTTTGTCACACAGCAGACACTAGGCACTACAACTCTGGACTCAGCAGGGCCAGCCCACCATTTTTTGGTGCCCCCTGCAAGAAATAGTTTTGGGCCCCCCTGCTCCGAAGAAGCCAGTGGCAGTGGCGGCCACAGGGGGGTTGGCAAACGGCTGGACATACACATGCTCCCCCCATGGGAAAGTCTAAGGAAGGAGGGGAAAGGGCCAAGGGGGGAGTGGCTTTGTGCAGCACTGCGCCGCACCGGCCACCTTCTAGCCCCGGTCCCAGCTGTCTTCCCACCCCAGCCCCAGCTGCCTCCCCACACCAGCTGAGGATCCCAGAGCTGGGGCCCAGAGCAGGGCCAGCCTTGGCTGCACTGCCAGAATGGAGGGGAGGGAGCCCCCGGGACCCCCATGCCCACCCTGCCCCACCCTGTGTCATCTCTGGGAAGAGACCGGCAGCTCTTCCAGAGGCGCGGTGCCAGGCAGCCAAGGTGGGGACGGCACATGGTCCTCTGATTTTTGCACAGGCAAGGGTGGGCCACAGCTGAGAGCTGGGCTCAGCCTCTGCTCCGTGTCTCCGCGCCTTGCTGCCACCGCTTCGGAAGTGGTGAGTGCTGCTATGTGCATCCCACTGCTGGGCGGGCTGGGAAGCAAGGCACATAGCGGCGGGTGCTGCTTTTGAAGTGGCGATGGTGAGGCATGGAGACACAGAGCACAGGCTGAGCCCAGCTTGCAGCTATGACCTGCCTTCACATGTGCAAAGATCAGGGGGGGTCACATGCCCTCCCCCACTTGGCTGCCCGGCACTGCACCTCTTGAGGAGCCACCAGGCTCTGATAGTCCTACAACCCAGCTGGGCTGGGGCCCAGGCACGGTGAATGGGGGCCGGGTCATGGGACAATCCCCACAGTACAGGAGGGAGCAGGCCAGGGGCGGGGTGAATGATTCGCCCTTCCTCTACCCCACTCTCTCCTGCATTGCAGGGTTCTTGATCTGCCCTACCCCACAAGCCTGTGGAAAAAATAAAAACATTAAAAGAAACTTACCCGCCTGTGGCTGGGCCAGCTGCAAGTGCGCAGGGTAGCTCAGCATGCCCATCCTCCCCCGCTGCTGTAGGACCCCATGGCCAGGCTGCCCTAAGGCAATGCCTGCTGCTGCCCTGTGTCTGGGTGGGGCTGAGCCCCGTTAGCCCCCCACTTCCTCTGCCTATGTGCAGGGGGCCCCTTAGCCGCAGGGCCCCCTGTGGCTGCAGGTTTCACAGTATGGGACGGGTCAGCCCTGGGACTCAGCTCAAAAGGAGCCCTATATATCAGCACTGCTATGGACAAGGCAGCCCCATCCCAGTTCTGGAAGCCTCAAGTGTCTCTGGGCTAGATGGAGGTAGTTATTATTTGCAAACACATAAAAACAGAAAAGGAGTGGCCAACCCACAAGAGAGCAAGGATGGTAAATCTAGCAAGGCAAGACTTTTTACTGAGGATGTTCTTTAAGGAGATTATTTCCTTCTCTGACCCAACCTGACTGAAGTATCCAAAGAACAGAAGACAGTTTTACTGGAAGAAACCATAGAGCTGATCTGCTCTAGAACAGCCATGCGTGTTTCACGGCTGGACTGGGGGAAGCAAAGATGCCAGTCTATGCTGTACCTGCTCACATCCCCAAGGGGTCTCCAGGCAGTTGAGGATGGCAGGATTAGAGTACTAACATACCACAGGGTTTGATTGAAAGTTTCCTGGCTGATTTTCAGGGATAGCCAGCAGTCATCCATACAAGTCTTTTCTGCACTCACCTTCTGTTCCGGGCACGCACCCCAACAGAGGCAAACTCAATCACCCTTGTGTTGGGATCCAGTGTGCCCCCCTTGGGCCCTCGCAGCTCTGGGTTGCGCCTGTTGGCGGTAATATAGTCAGAGTCTTCCAACTCAAAATGGCAGTAGGGCAGCAGGCTTCTCCCCTTCACAGATACTACTGGGCTTTCACAATTTGGCTTTAGATTAGGGATACTAAAAAGAAATGGAGCAGTGTTATTAAAGGTTGTTAGACAGCTCTACAGGCTAATAATTCCAGCTAGCCAGGTATCTAGTACTTTTCTCTGTACCCCTTCTATTTCATGCAACTTCATTTCCTCCCCTTTGGCACATGATCAGTGAATCTAATATAGACTCACTCCATGGTGATGAGGCAACAGAGGTGAAGTGCCAGACTAATTCACAGTAACACCTCAGCATAACAGAAGTGGCACTTCTTTGATTGGAGGCTGTGTTGGTTTGGTGATTAAGTGTGTAAAAGGCTCTGATAAAGTCAAATACTTCTCCAAAATCCAATAATCTGAACCTCTTGTGGATTAAATGATGTTCCACACCCAAGGGAAGTGAATATTATTAGGACATTAGGACTGCAAGATCATGTCACAAGAGAGGCAAGAGTTTTGGGAAAGACTGCAAATTAGTTTTCCTCTATCTCTGAAAGACTGAATCCTATTTGTACTCAAGCTCCTGGCAGGTTAACATTTTTTTAAAGTGAATTTTCTCAATGTGATTCAGATTCTCCTTGTTATTCTGAGACTTTCACAGAACTAAAGAACCTATATTATGACACTGGCTTGATTTCTAGCTAGTTGCATCCAATATGAAGTTAAGTAAATCAGCAGGTTTCTGATGTTCCCCTGAGGCCCGACCCTTCCTTGACTATCTCCGGTCCCTCCAATTTGGAGATATCTACAGCAGAAATAACTGCACTTATACCAAAGTCCTATTATCAACATTCCCCTTGTCAAACTGTTCCCCATTTTGAACATTTCCTACCTGCAAATGATTTGGCCCTCAAATTCTCCCACTTCTAGTGGGGAGAATTTCACCTGGAACAGCTGCTTCTTTCCAGCTGTGATGACACCACTGCTGGGTTCTATGGAGAATGGAGGGTGAGCAGCGGCAGCATACAGGAAGGAGACGACACTTTCCAGAACAGTTCCTAGCTGGCTGGTTACTTGGCTGGACTGCATTTTGGTGGAGACAGCAGATGTTGCAGATGGGGGCTCTCCTGCATTAAGGAATGGGTTACTGAGACAGTTTCTTTCAATGATGAAATGTATTGTTCTGAGCACCCCTGCCCCTTGGTTCATGCTAACAGAAGAATGGCTGAGTAGTGTTTGGCTTAAGGACTCCAGAAAGGAAATACCTCTTTGCAAACACTCTGAAAAGGAGGATACCAAATGAGGCTAGTGATAGCTACAGTGTAGCTTTGTCTGAGCCAGACTCTACTCTTAGATTACACCTATTAGACCTGAAAGTGCATTTAGACACCTAAGTGTGATTCTGATCCACCCTGAGTACGTCCCTGAAAGCAGTTAATGCAAAAGGCGAGTGAATCCTCCTCCTCCTCCTCTTTGCTGCTTCTTTATGACTCAAAAGTGGATGCTCTAATGCATTTTCAGGATGTGAATAGGATGGACTAGAATTGTGCATAAGTGTACTTGTATGCTTAGAATAGAATCTGGTCATTTGTGTCTCTACTGCTGCACTGCCCTTTACTGAATCCTAATCCTAGATTTTAGGAGTACTCAAAAGGCAATATGGAGTGAGGAAAAAGGACTGGGTGAACGGGCAGCTACAACGAATAGATATATAGTCAAATACCTGCTAGAATTCCACACAAGGGATTAAAATCAATCTGCTGATAGAGGCCACAGTACAGTACTTTAAACAAAGTGCTAGGATGAAGGCTTGATAAGTATTTAAAGAGATTGGGCCAAATCCTGCCCATCTGACATTAATAAAAGTAAAGCTGGAGTCACAACTTGGCCCATTGTGTGCAAGTCCTCTGAGCACCCATGCACGCTACATCCATTTACTCTTCCCCATCCTCTGTCATCTAGAACCAACTAAAGACAACCCGTCATAAACAACAGTAGTCCATTTGCATTAATGGAGCACCCTGTATCAGCCAGCAGTCAACAATGGATGCTAGAGAGAATTTCTTTAGTGTATCAGTTTGTACATTATCTCATGGAAAAAGTTTTTCCTGACCCACCTAGTGATCAGTCTTTTCCTGGAAGCATGAAGATTGATATACCTTATCATTTCTATTCTATCTAACTGAACAGCAGATTCTAGTGTTATTCATATGAGATTCTGACCCTTCCTGAAACCTTGCCTTTGTTCCCATTTCAACTGATGTCTGTTCCCATTTCAACTGAAGTCTGCATAATATGCTGAACAGCAGTTGGAGAGGAGCCCCCATCTGCAACATCTCTCATCTCCACCAAAGTTAAACAGAATAATTTAGCAAAGTACCTACATGACTGCAGAGCAGGACAGCTTATGTTAGGAAAGGACATCATAATGTTAAACACTCGAATGATTCAAAACTATGCATATAGTCAGGTGCCTTGCTGAACCCACTCCTAAATCTCTGCTGTGAATGTTCCTTGTTTGACTTACAGCCATCTCTTTCTGCATTGCTCTTGGATATGGGGATATCATTTACCCTGATTCTTTCCCATAGTAATTAGCTCCCAACTCTCTCCCAGCAGCCTGAAGAGACCTTGATTCCATTATACTCTACAACAGGACCCCCCAACTTTCTAGCTCCTGACCCACCCTCTCAATCTGTGGCTCTAAACTGGCTGATGTTTTGAGCTCTCCTATCACTGCTGACTCCTTGCAGGGCCCACTGTCTCTGTAATATAAGCTGTGAGTATTTTGATGATGGGCACAGGGAAAATAAAACAATAAGGAAGGCCAAAATGGAAACTGTCTTTGTCTTAACCTAGAGAGAAGTTACTTGCCTGGGTGATGCTGGAGAATGTCACCTTCAGTATTGAGCTCAGGCAGAGGCTCAGTCTGCTCCCTGAGCTCTCAATAACCTTCCTTTGTCAGTCTGCAGGTTATAGTACTTATCTCTAGAAGAAGCTGCCATGTGGAAACCAAAGGAAAGGCGATACCCTTACCTTCAGGACTGGGTGGTGAAGGTTCCTCTGGAAAGTTGACTGTCCTCCTGTTGTCCTCCATGACCATCTTCCAGGAGTACTCTAGTGCCACATTCCCCTTGTTGGCTAATTTGAACCTGCAAATGCGGTAGGACAAAGGGGAGAAGAGACAACCTATTGAACAGAAGGGATTAAAAAAGGCCAAAGAAACAAGAGGAAAACAAAACATCTTGTAGGGGGAAATTCTGACCCCTTTTCTCATGTTGAGCAGTACTTCAGTCTACAACCAGTTGCACTGAGTTCAATGGATCCACTTGTAAGGTAATGTGCTATTTAGTGTAAGGGAATGGAATCTAGCCTGTAGATTTCACCAAGTGATTCTGCTGAGAATCCTGTGTGCTTGGGAGGTACGGGCCAAGGGCATGTCACTAACATTAACTTCCAAAATTAGTTCTCAGTCCACTGCCAGGATGCTACTAGGCTGGCCCAGGTACCTTTCAGTGTTCACAGGATTTCTCCTTCTGGATTCACAAGTGACAAACCGTTTGTGTGTCAGGGAAATTACAAGGATTTTAGAACAAAGTTGTCAAAGGTAACAGAGAGACCTTGGAGTCCCTTTTGGTTTCCTGTTTCTACATTTGGCGTTGAATGTCTGTCATCTAAGGACTGTTTCTAGAGCATGCATAGTAATCTATATTGAGCACTGACAATGTGTAATGAGGTAAGAAGGACTTCCCTGGAAGTGGAGTAGAAGTAAGTGGCAGGATTGGGTCCTAACCAGGGTTACTTCTAGGTGAGACTGCAGCAACCCTTTGGTGCCAACAGCACTGCACAATGCTTTGCCTTACTTCTTGATGTGTTTATTTTGGTGCCCCCAACACTGCATCAGAGCTTTTAGGGGCAGAAAGGAAAATGAGAACATTTTTTTTAATGGAAAGAACTGGAGAGAGATGGAGAGGCAGAACCTAAATCCACAAGCTTGGACCTGGTCAGGATGGGGGAGGTGGGGTGACACCTGATTGCAGCAGATGGTGCCAGGGGTATCCCAGGAACTGCAAGGAGATGATATCTCTGTGTTACATCACCAGACCTAGCCAAGCAGCAGGTAGACTCTGTTTATCAGTAGCTGGAAACCAAAATCAAATGAATTAGAGACCACTAGCAGCTCCTTCCCAGGAATGACCAGCTAGTAGAAAAGCACAGATAAGAACTCCTTCCTGCCCCAAGAGGACAGGATGCAGTGCTAACAGCCATAGCCTAGTACTATTCTGTGGTAAGTGGACCCTGGCTACTCAATGCAAACCTGGGCAAAACAGTGCCTCTGGGCTGGTCCCTACCTGGTTTCAGTTACTTACTTGAACATCCTGGTCTGGAACAACAAGGTCTCCTTGAACTGCACCTCCTTGGTCTCCAGCTTGAACTGGGTATAATCAACAACAGCACTGAGTCGAAGGTCTAGCTCTAGGCTGCTGTCCTCCACAATGGTGTGCACAGGTTCAGGGTCTGTCTCTATCACCTTCAAGCAGAACCAACCAAGAGAAAACCATAATCATCTGAGCCTCTCAGGTCTCCAGAATCAGAATAGCAACACCACTGGAAGAGTGAAGAGAGTTTTGGCACAAACACCCTAGGGGCAGCCCTTCAGGAAAAAAGAAACCTGAACTCCATCCCCCAAGATCCATTCCTTTTCTTCCAATCAAAGTTCTGGGATCAGCAAACCCTTTCAGTTGAAACTGAGCAGTGTTCTTGGGAGCACTATAAGGAAGCTGTATTTGAATCCTGTGCCTGGGGTTCACAGGAGCCAAGCAGAAGAACAGTATATAAAAATGAGATGGTACTGCAGGTGACATAAAAATCCCATTTTTCCAATACCTGCAATTGAGACACTTTTCAACACGCTCCCAAAGAAAGGTAAACTTGAGTAGAAATGTGACTGAATTTGAGAAAATTATGGTCAAACCCATGAAATGTACAGGCCAATTGTCTATGCTATATAAAGCAATTTTAAATAGCCATATAGAAGAGAAAACACTGTTTATGACAAAGTGGGCTAATGACAGGGGTTCAGAAATTAGTGCTGAAGAGTAGGATGCCATCTAGAGCAAAGGTCCTCATGCATCTATCTGCAAGATAATAAAAGAGAATGGTTTTAAAATCTTATATTGATGCCCTCTAACCATGCTTAACATGAAATGCATTTATGGTATTGGAATAGGCAAATCTTGGAGGGCATGTGGTCATTTGAGAGACTCTACTATACATAGTGGACTTGTCCCAGAATTAAACTGTTCTGGATGAAGGCGGGAGATAGGGTGAAGGAAATAATAGGATGCCAACTATCAGAAGACCTCTACTGTTCCTTTCTGCAATGTAAATGTCATAGAGAACTGATCATTCAACTTCCAGTGCCTGCAAGAATTATAACTGCAAAAGCCTGCAAGAGATGTGACACCCCTGAAATCACAGAGTGGTTTCAAAAAGCTTGGGAAGTTTTAGTGAAGGAAAAGTTGTCCTGTCAAGTCAGCGTTTGGCAAGAGGGGAAGGCTTATTTGCTTAAAAAGTTGCTTATTTGGAAATCTGGTGAAGTTTTATTGGATTATGCTAAATAAGGAACTTCCCCTTCCTTCAAGTCAGAAAATTTGAGAGACTTTTTGGAATGCTGAAGCTCAAGCTCTATAGGGGGACACTTAGGAATAAATGTAGAATTATTTGAAAATTAAAAGTAGAGATGAGAAGGTAATGAGATTGTGTTATGTAGAGTTCTAGGGAAAAAGATTACTATGTAGAGATAAAGTAACACAGGGGCTTAGCATTGATGGTAATGTTGAAAACCATTGGAGATGGCGGTGGAGAGGAAGGGAATGCAAGACTTCTATGGACACTGATTTGGAGTAGTTTGGAGTAGTCTGAGTTGTAATGAACAATAAAATCACATCTCTTTCACCCCTTAAAAATACACTGGTCCCTTCAAATCAGGACAGACTATCTTTGCTGAAGATCTGGACCTGGAGGAGTCCATGGCTGAATAACCACAGACAGTGAATTCTCTTCTGACCTTTCCTTCAGGTCACAGCTGTGAATAAAGTGAGACTGAATTGCCTTCACCTTGGCGAGGACAAGTGTCTCCGTTAGGGTGGAGACAAATTCACTGGAAAGGTCCATGGTGCAGCAAGTTCCTATGACTATTTTTAGGCCTTTCAACCATTCATCACCAATGCATTCTGGTTTGACTCAAAAAGGATGTAAAGAATGAGAGGACCTATCTGCTGCAGAACTAGCTAAACTACTGGCTAGCACTGTATTGTATAATGAGATACTGCACACAGCACAGATACATGAGTTGAAATGTCAGTTGCCACAATGCAAAGAGCACTCACTTCACCACACAGGTGGATATCTGAAATACGCTAGAGGAATTAATGACATTTTCCCTCAAGAAACCTGGAAGTTGAACATGATGGGACTACTATATCTACTCAACTATAAGACAAGGGTTTTTTCCCCAGTCAGCATGGGGGACAAGAACCCTTGTCTAAGATTCATGTACAAAGCAAGGTGGGGGGCAGGTGGCTGCTGTGGCTCTTGACTCTGGCTCTGACCCATAATAGCCACCTGCCTCTCTGCAGCTTCTGCGCACCTCCCTCTTGCCTTGCCCACTTTTCCACCTTACTATTAGGTGCACTGAGGAACGGAGCATATGGACCCTGGCCCCATCCCCTGCCTGGCCAATCATCAGTGCTGATGCTGCTGCATGGCCCAGCAAGGGCTGCACTTCCATGTGCTGTGCTCTGGGAAGGGAACAGAGCCTGAGTACCATCTGATAGTAAGTGGGGAGGAGAAAGGGGGGAAAAGGGCAGAAGGACTGTGGGGTGTATGGGGAGGAAAGAGGCAGATACTAGGGTGTGGGGGGAGAGGCAGAGATTGTGGGGAGTGGAGGAGAGGGGCAGAGATTGTGGGAATAGGCAGTGCAGGTGGCAGGGGGGCAGGAAGGCTGCTGGGGCAAGGGAAAAGAGGGCAAGGGGGCTGCCTGACCCTTTAGCTACTTGACTCCTCCCTCAGCAGCCACTGCTTTCCCTGCTGTAGCAGTTGGGGAGAATGAATTTAGGGCAACCCTTTGATAATTAGATTCTATACCTGGAAAATTATAACCAATTTAGAAATGTTCCATATATAGAATCTAATTATTAGGGGGGGTCATCTTAAATTCAGGGGTGTCTTAGATTCAAGTAGATATGGTAATTCCCTGCTAATTCAAGGGCTATACTGAAATCAGACTAATAGATTTTAAGACGAGAAATGATCACTGGAAGCCACAGAATTTCATCCAACTACCTTGCATTGAGCCCAACAGCTTGTGTTGACTGAGAATCCACCAGTGTCCTTGGTAGTTTATGCCAATGATCAGTCACACTCACAGTTAAAAGGCTATGCTGAGGTTACGGAGTTGTTCAGTTGGCAGGTCAATAGGTCTGTACATAACACAGGATTGGCTCAGAAAGCTTTTGTGCTTGGTATATTAGCTTTTACTACCCTGCTTCTTACCTTCTTCTTTGTGGGGCATACATTTGGAAGGCTTCTTGTGGCATCCACCCACTTGACAGTGTGCAGGCGGTCATCCCAATCAGAGACCTGGTCTGCTGGGAGATGAAAGGTGATTCTGCACACCTTACACTTCACTGTGTGCATTTTGAAGGTGACAGGAACACTGGATTTCAAGGTCACAGTTATGTCTTTAGCACAGCCAGTGTGGAGATGGCCAACCTAGAGGGCATCACAGGAGAAAGACCAATATTTCATGAATGGCAGGTCAATGACCAGCAAAGAAAGGACTGACATAGGCTATGATGTAATTCTGCATTGGCCATGCATTTATTTATAGTGGATTCAGAACCAGATTCTCTTCTATGTATCCATAATTCAGGCGATGGTTGTGTTTACTTCCTTATGTGGTGCCCAGTAGCCACCAGTTGGAGGAACCAACTGCAGGAGAGGTAGAAAGAAAACTGCTCTGTCAGGTCTGATAGAGAAGAGAAGACTGGGTGACACCACAGCCCTGAGCAACTCATGGTCTCCCTCACTGGCTTTGTTTAACAAAGGGAGGCAGCTATTTTGAATTAAGTTGACTTCTGCCATGAACAGCCCTCAGAGAGGAAGAGCAGTTGCTTCGTACAGCCATATCCCTCATCCTTTTTTGCCTTTAGTTTGGCCAGATATGCCATAACACAGTTCCCAGGCCCAGCAAGCTCAAGAACCAAGAAATAAACTGGATCTCCTGCAGGACAGAGATGAGCATTATCTTCCAAGTCAGGGTTAGCATTCCTGACTACAAGTCACTAACCAAGTGGCTTCTTATGCACCCAGAAAAGACAAAAGTAGATACCTGGGGGGAGAAGTTAAATGGAGTGCCACTGGGCCATTCGAACCTCATCACGTCTGCTTTGCTGCGGTTGGTTACTGAGAAGGTCACTTGGTAGGGCTTCCCAATGTGACAGTCCCCAAACTGAATATGATCTGCTTTGGTAGCTAAGAACAAGAATGGTGATTCTTATGATTCATGAAGTGCCCTTCCTCTCATACACGTACTTATATATTTACACCAGTTCTCCCTGCTCAGCCACAGGCATTCACAAGCTTGCTTCAGACAGAGATGGCTTAAAGCAGTCCCTCCTGAACCAGTGTATCTAGCTCTATTCCACAGCAACATGCTCTGACACAGAGGCGTTCCTTCACTTGCTGCAATTGATGGGTTGCTTCCATAGTGAAACAGATGGACACAGATTACAGCATGCAACTACCATTTGGAGGAGACAAATTCAGGTATCCTAGGAAACATGCACAGAGATTAATAGTTTGTAAGGGGCTGGAAGAGACCTCACAAGATCATCAGGTCCACACCCCCTGCACGAGGCAGGAAAGACAACTGGGGTCAGGTGACCCCCAGCAAGGTGACCATCCAGTCTCCTCTTGAAGATTTCTAGGGTAGATGATTGTACCACCTCTGGAGGGAGTTTATTCCACAGTCTGGACATCCTGACCCAAGCTTAGGAGAGGGCACAACAAGTACCACACAGCATGGGCTGGCAGTTCCTTTACATCTCCATCTCCACCAGATGCCATGTGAATATGGACTGGTGGTGTCAGGCCATAGCCTAGAACCTGGGCCTCAGCCTGCCTGGCACAGCTGCTCATCCCAGTCTGTTACCTCCTCATTAACACACAGGGGCAAACTCAGGTAGCTAGAACCCTCATCCTGGACCTAGCTACACACAAACTGCTGCCACTGGAGTGGTCAGCCAGGGTCAGCTGACCCTTCACCCGTTCCAGTATAAATCCCTGACCCAGATGAGAAAGTGTCCAGGCAACAAGGCTTAAAACCTTGTACCTAGGCTATTGTACCTTTGTGGTACTATTGGCCCTCTGACAGATTCTCTGGACACATGACCTGGCTTCCCCCTGGACCCTAAGTTTGGCCTGACCCTTTGGTTCTCTGACCCAGCTCTGATTTGATCTCCTGTTTAACCTTCTGACCCCATGCTTTGCCCAGCTCTCTGGATCTCTGACTAAGTTCCCCAGACAGATCACCTGGCTTCTGCCTTCCCTACACTCAGACTCTGCATGCTCCCCTCAGATCTTGGCTGCTTCTCCTGACCCTGGGTGATCCCGACCTGGCCAACCTTTTAAGGATACTTGTGTAAGTATCCTTATCCATTGCTGACTTTCAGCCTCTCATTAAGAGCACTATTTCCTTCAGGTGTAGCCAGGTTCAAACTTTCCTCATCACTCTTGTGTTCTGTACTTCCTGCCTGCTGTCAATAGCACGGTTCTCCTGGGCCCCGCAAAGCAGGAGAAGCTGCTACCTTTGCCAACCTCACAAATCTATAGTGTGTGTGTACACATGCTGGATGTGCTCACATTTTAAATACCAGCTCCATCTGCTATTCCCTTTATTTTATCTTCTTCCCAATTTAGAAATAAAGGTCAAAGGTCCACCCAAGTCTTCCATTCCACTGGCCACCCTGGCTAAAGCTAGCCAGTTTCTGTAGCCAACAGCACGCAGGACAGTGATGTGGCCAGCAGCATGTCCAGCCACCTTTGACTCCCCACCATGAATGAGGTGGTGCCATTCACAGCTAGGTTGACTGTGGATTCCCTTCAACATAATCCCCAAGACATTAGACATCAAGACCCCCACTGACTTTAGAAGACATATGTGCAGACCTCAAGTCATTCCAATCTGTATTCACATCTTCAAGACTCTACAGGGCTGCACAGTTTTCACCAGTTTCCTTTCTTTCTCTTACCCTCCACAATGTCATCTTCCAGCTGCCCCTCAGCATTCTCCTCAATGCTGTCTATGAGCCCATGGATATTATCTAGTGTGATATCATCCTGGTAGCCTTCGCCCACCATCTGAATGTTGGTCTCCTCATACTGGTTGTCCACCACTAACAGATGAATCTTCCCTTCCACCCGCTGGGCAATGCTGGGTTTGAAAAAAACATCGAACTCCACTGATTCCCCATTATGCAGGATAAGGGATGCAGTATGTGGTTTCCTTCCTACAAAGCAATGGAATATGAAAGCCTGAAATTATATATAAGATATGGATGCACAGGTGAAAAGTTGTTTCTATGAGCATAAACAGAAAAACAAGCTAACAACTGGCTGCCTGAGAATTGTTGCTCCCTTGGAGGGATAGCTCAGTAACACAGGGAGGAGGTATAATATCAGACTCAGTGTGCAGAGGGCCCAAAGGCATGTCTACACCATCAAAAGCCTGTGCTAGGGAGAACTGCAGTGAAGCACAGAATGCCTGTTCTACATATAGTAGGCAATCATCAATCCTCTGGATCATGGTGTATGCGTAAGAGGTCTAGTCAGGTTCCTGATGAATCCATTTGTACAGAGTCCTACTACCATCAAACCAAAATCTTCAGTATATGGGCTTAGGCAGGAGTGGGTGCATTTATGTGAGATGCTTTACTGTGCATTAGACTAATCCTCAGTAAAGCATGACTGTCTACACATGCACAGCAATTACTGTGCAATAGGTTAGTCTACTGTGTTGTTTCCTAGTACCTGCAGATACAGGTACTAGAAGTCAAACTAATGTGCCAAAGCGCACATGTAGACACTGACCAGGAGCAAACTGCTCCAGATCAGCCTAGGCAGTAGGGGGCCACAGGGGGTGGGGAAAACTGGGTCCTGATCGCCACAAGGCTGGAAGGGAGTTGCTCAGCAGTGGAGACAGCTCTCCTAGCTGTGTGGGGATCAGGATCAGCACCTGGGCTGGCCAGGAGCTTCCCCAGGCTGCTGCAGAGAGGCAGAGCAGGGAAGGAACATCTCTGAAATGAACTGCTCCAGACAGGTGCATGTTCAGATGTGTGCAGGGATGCAGTTTAATGCACCTGAGTTTTCTGGGCAAAAATTCAGGTGCATTAATTGCATATGTAGATGTGCCCAGTATGGAAGAGTGGAGGCTGCTCAAGACCTACCATCCCCACTTCAGATCACGGAGACAAAAACCAAAGGCCAGACCAATTCCAGACATTTGGTGCCTCAATAGTTCTAGCTTCTGCCAGAAATCAACAGATGAGAACTGCTGCTGACTGCTTACTGCCTTAACAAGGTTGCATTTCTGTTATGGTGATGTCCCTTAACCTTTCTCCAGCCAAGGAGTACCCACAAGACTCTACATATATTACACTGCAAACCAGCTGCAATATCCAAGTGCAGCACTGGAGACATGTCCACAAGCTCTGTCTCATGAGGCACTTATCAGTGCACACAGTGTCAAACTAAGGAGGCACTTCATATACATATGTCCATTTCAGGGTGTAGCACGCTTGGTGCGAGCGTGCCAGGCTTCAGTGTGGCCTTTCCTAACTTGGTCCTTTGACAGTGTAAATATGCCTGAAGAGTCTTCAGTACAGTTAACTCAGGCTCCTTTTCATCCATGTGGTGCTTTCAACCCAGGTCAGCTGGCACAGCCAGAGCAAGTGGCTAAATCTGCCCACTTTGCAATAAGAACATTCTCAAGTGTTCCAAGTCCTTCAATACCCTCCTGAAATTTTCCTTGTGTTGCCTGGAAAGACAGACAATTCTCCCACAATTCACCAGGAAAGATCCTAGATGGGTTCAATTTACTTGCAACACAAAGAACTATGGGATGTGCCTCTAAGTCCTAGCAATGTACAGGGGTGAGGGCAGCACCAGTCAGAACACAATGACCTGAGTAAGTCTTTGCAGTGCTGCTTCTCAGACCCAGGCTGTGATGACCTTGGTGATTCTTAGACCTTGGTGTCAATCATTCCTGTCAATGAAGCTGTGAATATATTTCCCAAGGGAGCTCTTCGCTCTTCCCTCCCACCATGGCAATTGCATTTACCTTCCCTAGTGGATTCCTCCTCCTCATTCTGAGCCAGAGAGAGGCAGTTTGTGGTTGGCTTGGCTTTTAGTGAGAAAACTCCTTGTTCATCCAGCAGGTCAATCATCATCTGGAGAAAGTAAAATACAAAGCACAACAGCATTGGCTTGGCTATGGGACAGCCTGTGAATCAACAGAACATTGTTCATGCCTCACAGGAAGCTGAACTCAGAAGCAATGTGCTTTTAGTTGGAAGCAAAGTAATATAAGGAAATTAGAATGTAAGCAGATAGATAAGACTGTATTTAAATGCAACTGAACATGATGCAATTAGAAAGCAATCAAACTGAGTATAAAGGTTAAAAAAGTAATTGAACAGAATTTAATTAGAATATAATTGTGCATAATTAGAAAGGAGTAAAATGTACCTAAACAGAATAGGATGTAATTAAAATGAAATGCAAACCTTCTCATAATTAAAAACAAAATAGAAAGTAGGGGAAAAAAGAGCTTTTGCTTCTAATATTAAGTAAAAATGACAAATTGGTCAGAAAATGACACCTCCAAGGGGGGAGGTTTTACCAGTAAATGAGTCAGTCACTTGTTAATTAGTCTGTCTGATACCCATTTCTGTTGGTGATTTATTAAGGTTCAGCAAACAAAGTTGGTTCTTAAGGGCACAAAAATCAAAGCATGCATTTAAGACTCGAGAAGACAGCTATGCAATTATTGGAAAGAAGACACAGATAGGCAGTGAAAAGCCAGCACCTCTGGAAATGCTGAGAAACTGATAGAAAGTGAGAACTTATCTACTGGTTTCTTGATTCATCACATGGAATCTAAGAGAGAATTATATCCCAGCTATGGAATTCGACAGGACTGTTCAGAGAGTATTCAAAAAGAATCTTGTTTCATACCAAATTCCAAAGGGTTTTCTAGTGATTTTAATACATCTCTGCTGGTTTCATTCTTATTACATTCTATAGGGTTTTTCCACAACGAGCGAAGGACTTGCTTCACAATCAGCTATTCAGATGCTCTCTGGCCAGCCATTACCTGAACAGGTATAACACCACTGTTTTTAAGGATGAGTGGAAGTTTTTCCGAGTGGCCTAGCAGGAGCCTCTTGAAGAGCAGCAGTGGGTTCCCTCGTTTGTTGCGGAGGACAGGACGCACGATGGTCACTCGGGGGAGGTTCCCATCACCAGTGATATCAAATGTTAAATTTCGTGATTTACTGACCAAGCTGTAGAGAGCACAAGCAAACTAGTGTTATTGCCACATGCCTGCTTTGCACACAGAGGACAAATGTATCAGGGAAAGCCAGCCTCCCTATAAGCAGTGGCATGAATTACCTTGGCTGTCCATCAATGGAAGCTTCAAAAATGCACTGGTAGCTCTGCATCGTCTGAGGAGTGAAGGTTACTGTCGCAAAGGCATGGGAGCGGCTAGGGATACACATCCGAACAGGATCCACCTCAAAGATGTCATTAATGCGCGCAGCAGCCTTAGGGAACACCGACAGTGTTAACATGAAATGTCCTCCAGACAGACTTTATTAGAGGTATTTAGACATGTGCACACATAAGGGATACTGGACAAATTCCTTCCTCCAGCTCTCATTCTCCCTCCTATCAAAGGACATGATATCAAAGGGATATGTGTCCTAATGGCTGCAGTGTAAAGACCAGAAAAAACATGCTCCCTTCTGAGTCTTGTAAAACAGTGTAGTACCTAAGACAACAGTGTGTGATAACTATAGGCAAAGCTGACTCCTTAGTGGCCAACAATGCATACACAGAATCATAGATTCATAGAAAATTAGGGTTGGAAGGGACCTCAGGAGGTCGTCTAGTTCAACCCCCTTCCCAAAACAGGACCAGCCCCAACTAGATCATTCCAGCCAAAGCTTTGTCTAGCTGGGTTTTGAAAACCCCCAAGGATAGAGCTTCTACCACCTCTCTGGGTAACCTGTTCCAGTGTTTTACTACCCTTCTAGTAAGAACATTCTTCCTAATATCTAACCTAAACTTCCCTTGCTGCAACTTGAGACCATTGCTCCTTGTTCTGTCATCTGCCACCACTGAGAACAGTCTAGACTCCATCCTCTTTTTAACCCCCTTTAAGTAGCTGAAGACTGCTATTAAGTCTTCTCTCCATCTCCTCTTGTCTAGGCTAAATAAGCCCAGTTCCCCCAGTCTTTCCTCGTAAGTCAATACATACTAAGTATTTGTATCGTCCTATTATTCACTCAGCCCATTCCATATTTTGGTGCCTGCTTATTTACTGCTCAGACCTCTTGTTTGTTTCTGTTTATATTACGCGTACCATGACATGCTTAATCAAGAGAAAAGCTGAAAATAAACTTAAGCTTGAAAAAGGTCAAGGTTTCAGAAAAAATCTGAAATGATCTTCAGGCTAAGGCAGACCAACCAGTAAAGGAGAAACTTGTCATAGGAAAGGAGGTTTGGCAGTGGAAAGGGGAATGACTAAGAGCAGTTGTCCCAAAAAGACTTGTGGAGCTCTTTCTATTGAGTGCTTCAGGGAATGGGGAAGAGAGGGGACATTTCTCTTCTGGACTACAGTGGAGGAGAGGGACTCCATGGGGTTCTCTCTTCTCTTCCTCCCAGGACATGATTGCTTATCAGATCCATTTGATGGCAAAGTACCCCTATAACTGATGCTCTGCTTATGGTACTTCAGTCCAGTTCAAGCCAGCATGGAGTTGTGCACAAAGCTTGATCAGTGAGGACCTGGTAACATTGGATCATCTTGAGCAGAAGTCTAAAGTTGCTGGGAAATTGTAGGGGTAGAAGGGACATTCTATTACCACGCACTGGTCCAGACCAGGCAAGGGGAAACAACAGGTCTCAGAAACACAGTGCGTTCTGTTCAGTCTGCTTGAGGGGGCGGGGGGACATATGGGGGTTTGGGCTCCAGTGGCTGGTCAGAGAGCAATGGCCTTTTCAACCACTAATGCTTACCTTGCTGGAGATGGGTTTGACTGCAAGAAATGCATCACAGGGAATTTTGCCTACATTGGAGATCTTGAACCGAGCTGTTGCCTGGTGCCCAACCAGGACGTTCGTGAAGATAAATTTATTCTCATCTGACACAAACACCCCTTCATCTTCCACAGTCTGCAGAATTTGGTAAAGGTTGATGTTGCTGCAGATGCGATGTTCCTCAAAAATGGACCCAATGTCATCAACTACAAAGGCTGAGTACAGAAAGGAGAAATTGTTGGATTAGTCCTCCCTTCTAAGCTGAAAAATGTAGACCAGATTCACCCTATGGGTAACTCCACTGGCACTGTGGCAGGCATGGACTTGGCTCAAGAATCCTTTTTTGCATGGGTCAATGTAATATCATACCTCAGGGTGGGTTGTCAGAAGCGAGGATTAAAATTGGATTTTAAGGGGTACAGCTTCTACTTGACTGAGCTAAATCTCCCCATCAGTTAGTCAATATTGTAGCAGATTCATTCATTACCCCCTCTCAGTGTCTAGCACAAACCTGGATATGTTGCTTAGTTTCCCCTCTACTGTGACTTGGGAACAGCGAGCAGTAGATGAGGCTTCTACACAGCACAGATAGTTGAGGCTCCTGCTTTTAGAACCAGAGGTCCCAAGTTCATTTCCACTGCCAGTAAGTCACCCAAGAGTATGGTGCTATATCAAGATCAAGGTTAACAAAGAACAGCTTTCCTGGCTGTATTTTTGTATGGAAGGGCTTCTATATGGGCCAAAACTATGTGAAACAGTGAACATTCACCATATCCAGAAAAGCAAGTAGCACCAGAGATATTTCCCTACATTCTCCTTGCTAATGTTTAAGATATTTGATTGAGACTCCCCAACTCACTGTTGTTCAATAAAGAACTATCCTCTCTTCATCTTCTTTTGGTGCTTGATTTGATTGGGAAGTTAAAACATCACATTTATGATAACATAGTCTGTCTCCATAGTAACTATTAAACTCCACCCACGATACAAAATCTTTGAAAAATGAAATTCATTTGATGGATTTTGCTAGACACATGGGCCTTGATTCACTGTGCTGCTACATTGGTGTAACTCCACTGGTTTCAGTGCTGTTACGTCACTTCAAAATTGGCAAATTAGGCTCATGATTTTTATTAAACAACAAGAGTCATGATTATTAGCTTTGTTTGGATTATGGCAGTGTGAGCCAAGGCCTGAGGCTGCACTACACTATGCACTGTACAGAACATTGTAAAGACTGTCCCTACCTCAAGGACTTTTTATTTGTCACAAACAACATAATGAGAATGGAGTCTCAACTGCAGAAGCAAGAAGAAAGAGAAGTTGAGCTGATTACTAGAGAGAAGATGTTTAAGAAGCAACACCAATGACAAGGAATATGAGAACTGTATATGGCAGAATACCATCTCTGTCTCTCCCCAAATTCTGCTATCTGACAATTTGGTTACCATTGTCACTGCAGAGGGCAGACTCCTCTGGTCCCATCTGCTTCAGGTAACCCTGAGTTGTAACCTGAGCTGGATACATTCCTGAGGGAGTGGGGACATCTTCTCCCCCTGCCTACATGACTGGCATCACATACCTGGGTGGGGGCTTAAGCTCCCTATTGTTCTAAGCAATGCCAACCTGACTGTGAGGGAGCTAAAGACCCTGCCAGCCTACCCAGCAACCAGTGATGCATTTCAAATTGGTTGGCTGGCAGCCAACAGTTGCTGGCCTTCATTGGATCAGGTAAATGAGGTAATAAGGGCTATCTATATAAGTGGACTGCCCAGGATGGGCAGCAGCCATGAT